GGGAGAGGCAGGCAGATCTTTGTGAGTTTGAGGCCAGCCTGGTCTACAGAGCTAGTTCCAGGACAGCCGGGGCTACATAGTGAGACCATCTAAACAACAAGAAAATAAACAAAAAATGAGGCTAGGAGGGTGGTGTATGTATTTAACTCGAGCATTCAGAAGGCAGAGGCAGAGGCAGGTGGATTTCTGTGAGTTCAAGGCCAGCCTGTTTTACAGAGTGAGTTCTAGGCCACCCACATAGTGAGACCTTGTCTCAAGAAACAAAAACTGGCTGCTCTTTCAGAGGACCTGGCTTCAATTTCCAGCAGCCACGTGATGACTCATAACTAACTGTTTAACTCCAGTTCCAGGAAAGACCCTCTTCTGGCCTGCATGGGCACTGCACACATTGTGCATAGACATACATATAGACAAAACCCTCACACACATAAAATAAATATATAATTTTTAAAAGTATGCTGGATACTGGAGAAATGGCTCAGTGGCTAAGAGATCAAATCACTCTTGAAGAGAGTCCCCAAGTACAATTTCCAGCACCCAATTGGATGACTCACCTCTAACACTAGCTCCAAGGAGATCTGATACCTCTGGCGTCCATGAGTACCGACTGGCACACACATACACATAATTAAGAACAATAAAATAAGTTAAAGTATGCCAAGTAGAGATTATTTATCTAGCTTGGGGCCCTTTCAGCAGCCAAATATGGTCAATGGCGAGGCAGAAGCCTGCTGTAGCATTGGCCTAAAGGCTGTCAAGTATGTGGAGCCTTATAGACAGAAGATGAGAGTGTAGCCCTAACATCCCCCTGGCTTCAAGCTGTTCAAAGCAGTAAGAGTCAGCTCCACTTAGTTCTTCAGAGGTGGGAGACATATGGAGTCCCATGGCATATTCTAGAATGAGGCGAAAACGCTCATGGAGAATGACTGTACATAGTGCCTCCCATCAAGCCATTAACTTACCTCTGATCTTTTGAGAAAATGATACAAGCAATGGAATCTTTTCATTCTGTATTGGACCTTCATAAAATTTTTCTTAACTATCCCCTTAGCAGCTGATTCCTGAGATCATTGGCACTTGCGTAGAATGGTAAGTATTGGGCCTTTAATAATCCTGACTACCCTTTGTAAAATGGTGTAGGGAAAGTGATATATAACTCAGTGGATAAAGGCTCTACATGGCAGAAAGAGGAAATCAATTTTTGCAAGTTGTCTTCTGAAGCATGCACACACATACACAAAAATGTAATTTCATTACATAGATTATATATAATACTAACCTCTGAGTGTTTTACAGATTTAGAAACACATATGAAAAGCATGGGAGCAACAGCCAAAGAAGCAAGTATGGGAAATCATATGGAGTTATAAGGGCCAGAACACCTATAAAAATTTTAGAAGCTTTACAATGCAGATGATACCTACCATGATGAATGATAAAAATCCTACAAAAGCCTATGCCTGCAAATTTTAGTCAAAATAATGCTTAGAGTTTGAGTGAGCCAGACATGTTACAGACTTATAATCCTAGTGTTTAGGGGGTCGAAGGATTGGGAGATCAAGGTCATTCTTGGCTATTATATGAGTTTGATCTCAGCCTGGGCTATATGAGATCCTATCTCAAAAAAAGCAAACAAGAGTTTGAATGAAGGTACAATGTATGGGTGAAAAAGATGTTTCCATAATCTGTAAGTTGCTAAACAAAAATCTCGGTGCCAGGGATGGTTATTTCCTTACATGCTATTAGCCAGAGAGAGGGAGGAAGAGGACAGGGGCGAGAGGGAGAAGAAGAGAAGCAAAGTAGAAACATGCAATTTTTTTTGAGTATTTGGTGCTGGGATGGAACCTACAGCATACTCAGCAAGTATTTTAACCTTGACCTACAACCCTAGTCTACATGTCTGTCAAGTTGAAGACCATCCATAATTAGATTAGAAGGGAAAAGAGAAGCATTCAGCCAACACACAAGATGAAAGCAGAGAAGCCACAAACCCCAGAGAGAAGCAGAGAAAGCAGGGGGAGCCAAATACCCACACTCAGCAATGGAAAACCTCTGCTGTGGCCCACCAGTTATTTCAGCACATATTCAAATGTAGAAAGATTATAGTGTGCTAGTTTTTTTGTATAAATAGTTACTGCCAATTTTTTCCTAAGTGCTGGATCTCCATCTAGAACCTTCAACTACCCTCTAAGATAGTTCTAAACCTGTGGATCACAACCCCCTTGACAAACATCTATCTCCAAAAATATTTACATTACGATTTGTAACAGTAGCAAAATTACAGTTATGAAGTAGCAACAAAAGTAATCTTATGGTTGGGGGGGTCACCACAATGAGGAACTGTATTAAAAGGTTGGCAGAATATGGAAGATTGAGAACCACTGCTATAGGCAGCCCAGGTTACTACGCTGAAGACTGAAGTGCCAGACATGTTTGTTTTTTCAGAAACATTGGCTGTACAGACCAGATGTGCTTCAGATGACTCTAGCCCTAGCTACTACCTAACAGCAGCCACCTGGGATCCAAGAGGAGCCAAATCCCCTAACTGTGCAACCCACAGAGCCATGGAATAGAGTGCTAAGCCACCAAACTTTAGTGTTGCATAGCTCTAGACAAACAAGAGAGGCAGCAGTGGCCCTAGTAAGGCTTGTCACACACTTTCATAAATTTCCTCCATAACAAAAGCAACAATAACCAATCATTCTTTCAATCCCTTTAATAAGGTCCTCTGAGGAACCAGAAGAATAACAGGCAGGGAAGACAAAGTAGCGCTTTTTAAGCCCACTCGGTAATTCATCAGTCTTCTTCTGGTAACTGGATCTTGCTGGGATCAAAACAGTTGGATTCCATAATGGGGAGGCCGTTGGCTTCTCGGTATTTTACAAGTCTCTCAGCTTCCCGGCGGGCCCACTCTTGCATCCTAGAAGCAGCAACAGGCGTGGTCTATGTGAGAGAGCCTCACTAGACACCAGTTCCCCTCCTCAGCACCTCATACCCCACCAATCAACGCAGGGCAAGCATTCTGGCCAGAGACTCCTTCAACCTTTACCCTTGCTCCGGCTTCTACTCACTCTGCTCTCTTGGAAAACCCCATACCTGTTGTCAGGCAGATATGCCACAAAAGTGGTGCCAAAGACCAGGACAATGGAAAAACCAATGAAGAAGACAGCTCGCATGTTCCAGACGTCCACCACAGGGTCCTCGTCATAGCCGTGATAGTCTGGGTTCTGAGGAGAGGGAAAGATCAATAAGAGCTTCCTCCCGCATAATAAAAATATATGCTGGCCCTGCATGGTCTGGTCTCTAATCTGCCCTCAAACCAACCTCTTATTCCTCACTAAAATCTTTCCTATTCTTAGCTTGAGAAGTTCCTTCCCAACAAAGGGCTTTGGTATTTGCCCCCCCCCCCCACCTAGAAAGTGCTTCCTCTAAATCTAATCAGAGCTGAATCCATGCCCCCTCCCCTCATCCAAGGTTTTAACTTTATTTCCAAAGGAGTAATTGGCCTCACCTACTTGTTTGGGAAACATTACCTAATCACCCTGTCTGTTAAGTTGTACCCTTGGGAAGTGCTATTTATAAAGGTTTAAAAATGGCTGAATGTTGGTAATTTCCTATGGATCCACTTACCCTATAGCACTCAACCAGAGGTTAGTGTTGATGAAATACTTACACACCAGGCCTTTTCAAATACACAAACCTCACATATCCTAGTCAGGTGCAAATGGCAATAATAAACATCTTCTAATTCTGAGTACTTCTGAAGTGGCCGGAGCTGTTGAACCGTTCTGACTCATTTAATCAGATGAAGCTGTCCTATTACTTTTTTCCCTCTACAAAGAAACTAAGGCAGCAAGAGACTATAAACTACCTGCCCAAGGTCATACAAGTGAATAAATTTCAACCCAGGGTGTCTGACTCCAGGGTCTCTGTTATTCATAAAGCACGGGAATTCAAATAGTCCTAAATTCAAATATCAGCTCCACTTCCTACTTAAGTTATGTGATCTTGAGCAAGCAACTTAACTGTTTCAGTATCCTCATCTGCATAATGGTAACCGTAGTAGCGTCTACCTCAAAATCACGCTGTTTTTGAACATAGATACAAAGTGTTTACACAGGAACCGAGCACACGCCATCCCAGAATTTAGGATTATCCTGATTTCTAACGCGCTTTGGGCACTGCCCACTTTAAGTGTGATTTCTGTCTACAAGCAAAGCAAATCCTCCTTTGAGTCCTAGACCGAAGATAATAAAACAAAAAAGGGGAAAAACAAGTCAAAACTATGAATCTTTAAAGATCTTGTCTCCAGCGCAAGCATCGAGCCGGAGAACGATCTCTCCGACACCTTCTGCTTGGTCCAGGATTGGCCCCTGCGGCAACCCGTTCCCCCGCCCCCCACTCCCTCTCACCTTCGCGTAGAGATTTTCGTCCTCGGGTTCTGGGTCCTCCTGCCACTGTGTGGTCGGTTCTTGTGGCCGTTTTCTCTCCACAGCAGACGGGGAGATTACAGCCCTGGAGGATTCCCAGCGAACACGGGCAGCCGGCAGCTCTCGTATAGCCGCTGCTGCCAAAAGGCGGCGAGCGTATAAACTTAACAGCCTGGCCGCCATGACAGCTTGTGAGGCTGAGTCGGGGATGGGGGCGGGGGCACGGAAATGCGAAGTGCGCAGCTGCGCGGTTGATCCCAGCGCGATTTTTGTCGCTCCGCCCTCAGCTCGCTAAATAGATCCTTGTTCTAAGTTTGTTTTCGAGAGTGGCGAGGTGAGGACTCTGTTTTACTTCCCACGTCGTGTCGTCATCAAATCAACTTTATCCTTTCTGTCAGGCTGGGAGAAATTTGGTCTTGAGAGGTCTGTTTATTTTCTTCATAAGAAGAAAGTAGTGACATTTAGACGGCCTTGTGGGGAAAGAGGTGGGGCTTTTGCTTGTCTTTCAACTTCACTGCAAAGCAAGCCCTAAAAAGCGGGCCTCATAGTGGTAGCCAATAGCTACTCTTTTTCTGGACTCCTGGGGCGTTCTCACGGAATGGGGAGGTAGCATATGCTTGCCAATCAGAGAAGGCCAGGACCAGCCCATGGCGGACAGCAACCAATCGTCAAGGCCAGCCAGAGCGCGCTCCCTCAGTAGGTGGATGGTGGTCGGAGCGCCGGCTCCCGTCTCCTCGTCGCCATTTTGTGTCGGTGACTGCAGCCGGCTGGAAGAAGGCGGCACTGAGTTTCCTTGGGAGGGCAGCGCGTCGGGCGCGTCTCCCCTCCCCCCTTCCCCTCTTTTGCCACTAGCCTTGGACTTAGTTGTTGCACGCAATCGGCTCCCGTTGAACTAGCAGTTCTGGAGGAGGTGGCGGCTGGAGGAGGTGATGCCTGGGAGCCCTCCCTTGACAGCCCGGACCGAGAAGGTGAGCGCTGTTTCGGGTGGTGGGGGCCGAGGTAAGGGAGTGGGGCGTGCGCCAGGGGGTGGTGGTGCGGTATACATAGAAGAGGCGCAGGGACGGACTGCACACTTCGGGGTTCACAGAGCTGAGGGATGCACCTGAGAGAGGGTGTCCCCCCACTTTTTCTTATGAAAGCAAAAGCGCGTGCGCGATTGGAACACGGGATGGGTGCACGAGGGTGGGGGAAGGGACAGATGGGAGTGGGGTACTGTGACTTACTGTGTTTGCTCCATCGAAGTTTTATCTTTTGGAAGTGCGTGTCTGCGACTTTGCGGGGGTATTCTAAGAGCAGGGGTGTGCTGGCTGTGTCCTGTGTTACTTATTATCCACGCGGAAATACTTTTGTTGCAGCCTCTATTCATTTATGTGACGGGGATGGGGGGTGGCAAGCGCGGAGAGAGAAAGTGACTACGGTTTTTATCCTTGGAGTGTGTATCTGACCTCCAGTCCTTATCGGTCAGGAAACTGTCGTGTTACTGGCCGACCCCAACCTATTTATTGAATGCTGGGAAGGGTGAGGTGGATAGAGAAATATAGATGCGACTTTTATTCTTCTGACAGTTGTATCTGACACTGACATTCAAATATTAAAAGGGGAATTGTTTAATTATGTCTCTTGTGGGTTACCTTCTGTGATCGTGGCCCTTGGTTATTTGGGGGCTCGCCTGTAACTTTGATTCTTATCTGTGCTGTGTATATGACAATGTTTGACTCACCCTTTTGCCATTGAGGGGTTTGCATCAGGTTCTCAGCCATTAGGGTTCTTGGTTAACTGTTTTCCCCCATCTGGGAGCAGTTAGCTGGTTTCCTGTGGTTTGAGGTGGAAGAGAAAATAGGAACTTGAAGGAAAGGTGTGGTGGCAGCCTAGTGTTAGGCCGGTACTCTAACGGCCTTGCTTTCCTTGGTTCCTGTACAGTGGGTGGCAGCTGAAGATTCAGGGATAATTCCCATCCCTGGTTGGGTCACATCACTCTCAGGACTTGTACTTCTTGGGGCAGCCCCAAAAGTAGGATGAAGTGACTGCTCCTTTCAACTCTGTAGAACAAGATGTTTTGGAACCGCTTCAGAAAGAGGCCTCTTTTGCCTCTTGAAAACTTAGCCTATGATCCCTGGGGAGAGGGATCCACCTGGGGACCTGGCTGCACATCACATCATGGCTGAGCCACTTGCCTTATGAGGACCAGAGCTCTGTTGGCCAGGAGCCCAGGGAGGTGGCAGCTGTCTTGTTGCCAAGTTAGCCCCTACACACATTCCCTCCCTCCCTCCAAAAGCCTTTCAAAGTTTCTAACTGCCTTGTTAGGGTATAGCTAACATCTTGTTGGGAGGATGCAATGATACCTTGACCCATGGGGAGGTGCTTGGGATTCCATTGGTGAAGTCTTTTATTACTCTTTTGTCTTTTGGTGTTTTGCTGTTTGTTTTTGTGATGCTGGGGATGTGACCCAAGGGCCTTGAACATGGCTGTGCTGGTCATGTGTTCTGTCTCACAACTATATCCCCATCCAATTATTGTGGTCTTATTTCTGTGACTTATGCCTAATCCTAGGCAGATCGTTCAGCAGTTGATCTAAGAATAAGAATGCAAAGCCTTGCTCACATAGCCGGTGGTACCACCAAATCTCTGTAAGATGCTCCTTGTTTGATAAGGGCTTTACTGTTTTCTGGGGCAGTAGAATCTTGCCTTATGCTTGTGGGGAAAGGAAGGAGAGAGCCAAATGGGGGCTGTCTTCCTGCACTGATTGACAGGAGCAAAAGGAAGTAGAAAACAATGTCCCTGGGCTACAGGACTGTAGAGAGTCTTGACAATGACATTCTCTCAAGGAGGTCTTCTCTGCACCAACTGCCTTGACCCTTTTCTTCCTTCCATTCTTTGCAGAGTCTCTGCAGGAGGTATCACCCAGGCTGGCAGATCATGGTGGCAGCAGTGGGGGTGGCTGGGAAGTGAAAAGGAGCCAGCAACTGAGGAGGGGCCCCAACAGCTCCCGAAGATCCTATCAGGACATGGAGTATGAAAGGCGGTGAGTTCTCCATTCCCTCTGCGCCCAGGCACTATAAGCGTGCCCCCATGTGAACACCAATCCAGGAATGATGCTGTGGAACACATAACTTCTAGGCAGAAGAAACAACACAGCAAAGGAGTGGTTTCTATGCTCCGAGAATGCAGAGATGAACAAGACAAAATGATTGTAGGTCTCCTTGTGAGAGACTGTCTTGCTGTGTATGGTCTTACAAGGCAGACCACATAGTTTACAGGTGATTGCCAAACAGCCTGATGAGTACCATGGCTGGATGTGAGGATAGGTTTCTTGTTAGTATGGGTGAGGAGGCCAGAGAGTGATGCCAGGTATCTCTACCTCAATTGCTCTCCCTGTTATTTTTTGAGGCTGAATTTTTCATTAAACCCAGAGCTCCCAGATTTAGCTATACTGGTTGGCCAACAAGCCTGGGGGAGTCCTCTTTACCTCCTCAGCATTGGGATTACAGGCATGTGTCACACCTGGTGTATTTATATGGGTGATGGGGAATTGAGCTCAGGCCCTCATACTTAAACCACAAGCAGTTTACTAACAGAGCCACCTTCCAGGCCTGTGAAGGGTAGGTTTTGTTTTGTCTTGAGACACAGTTTCCCTTCATAGTCCATACTGACTAACTTCAGCTTCTTAAGAGAACTGGAGTGACAGCTTATCCAGTTCATACAGGGTGCTTTGTTTTGGGTTTAAGATGGGTCTTGCTCTGTTGGATAAGCTTGTCTCAAAATCCTAGGTGCAAGTGATACTCAAATTCATCTTCCCGAGTAACTAGAAATGTGACATCTCACTGGACTTATATGCTTTTATTTTGCTTTTCAACTCTGATACCAAACAAACATTTAGGATACTTGGTAAAATTTAAAGATTTGGGGGTATAAGTACAAGATCCTGGTAGATTATTTCCCCAGGTGATTCTGAAGCAAATGACCTATCCACCATATTTTAAAAGAGCCCAGAATGCAAACCGAATTTAAGATTGAGAAATTCTGTTCTTAATAAATTTGCTGAGTATGTGATGTGTACCTGTAATTCTAGCACTTGGGAGGTGGAGGCAGGGGGATCAGGAATTTAAAACCAACTTGTGCTACATGAGACATTGTCTTGAAAAACTAGTTAACAAATTTATGAAACACTGGAGAGAAAGCAGTTTTTGAAATGTCTTTTTGTGGGATGGATTACTGGGGAGTGGGGATTGAACCTAGGTTGCACAGCTCAGCATGTTTTGTACCATTGAGCTATTTTATATTCTCAGCCCTTTACATTTTATTCTGAGATAGACTGTAAATTGCCCAGTTTGGGCTTGTTTGTACTCAATCTGTAGCCCAGACCTTGCAACTGTCCTACCTCAGTCTCTGAGTTTACAGGCCTATACTACCAGACCCAGCTTATAAATACCATTTTATTTAGTTAGTTTATGTGCATGAATGTTTTGCTTGCATGTGTCTTTGCACCACGTGTGTTCCTGGTGCCGCCAGAAGAGGGCACTGGGCCCTCTGGAACTGGAATTACAGACAGTTGTGAGTGAGCCACCATGTAAGTGCTAGAAATCAAGCCTGGGTCCTCTGGAAGAGCAATCAAGTGCTCTTAACTTCTGAGCCATCTCTCCAACCCATAGTTATTTATTTTTGAAATAGGGTTTCACCATGTAGTTTCTATCTACCTGGAACTCATTGCAAAGACCAGCACCAGCAAGCCTCCTGGATATTGGAACTAGCATGTGCTACCATGCCTGGCACTGGCCTCCTTTTAAAACTGTCTTTTGAAAGGCATCTAGTGGCTAGAAATATACTCAGTGGTAGAACTCTTACTTAGCATGTGTGAAGTGTTAAGTTCAATACAGTACTTGCTTAGGAGATTAATTTGATTGTCAACCATAATCACTACAACTACTATGTGACTGAGCTTCAGGTAGCTATACTTCCTTGGACTTTGTTGCCAAGTAAAACTACTGGTTTTCTTTTGGTTTTTAGAGGATCCGAAATGTAGAGGTTTGAGTTAATCACATTTTCCATTTCTAAATAGATTTTATCAAAGACCAGTCATCACAAGGCCTCCTTTTACTGTGTTTGGTTTGTTTTTTTATTTCTTCAATTTATTCCCAATTCCCACCTCTGTAGGCATCAGCTCTGTTGTACTTAATATGTATCCTTCTAAAATAGTGTTATCTCAAGTGTCTGTTTTTAATTCTTATAAAGAACATAGTGCTACAGTATTCCTTTTGTCTCCTGAACTCCATATTACTCAGCAATGTATATTTTAGCTGTCCCTATTGTCATTAATATACAAAATGTTTTGTCGCTAATTGGTGCCAAGGGCACCATGAGGTGTCCATGTTACGTTTTACTTAATGTGTGTGTGCATGCCAAGAATAGATACTGTTGTTTTTGTGGTTGTTGTTGAGACAGGATCTCATACTATAATCCATGCTGTCCCGGAAGCCACCATATAGCTCAGACTGACTGACCTGAGACTTGTGGTAATCTTCCCTCAGTCTCCTGATGATCTGTTCTTAATAAATCCTTACTTTCGTGCTTCCTCTTTTTTAGAACAAGGTCTCACTACGAAGCTCTTACTGTCCTGGAATTTGTTATATAGACCCAGCTGGTCTCGAACTCATAAAAATATACCTCCCAAGTGCTAAGATTAGAGGCATGTACTTCCATGACCAGATCTTGCCATATTTGTGATTTCAGAATCTTTTCTTTTCCTATCCCAGATAGTCTTAACCTTTTGCATTCACATCTTTAGCTCATTTAGAATCCAGTTTTGAATATGGTATAAGATAGGTTTTAGTTTGTTTTCATTCTTGCAGCGGGCAGTTTGCTGAGTACCATCTCCTAAATAGTTCATTTTTGCTCGGGTTCCCTCCATCTTGAATGATCTAGGTTGTTCCATTTATCTCTTTGCTTATTCCTACACCATAATCTTACCATTTTTATTACTGTGGATTTATACAGTTTCTTAATAGTTCTCTTTTTGCTCTTATTTTTCAAACTTGATTTAACCATTTGTGGCGTTTTATTCCACGTAAAAACTAATCAAAGGCTGAGTGGTAGAGCCTGTGCTTAGTATGTATGAGACCTTGGGTTCCATCCCCCAAGATTTAAAGAAATCATCTCAAACGCAGGACTTTTAATTGAGATTGCATCAAATTTCTGTATTGGGAGTTGAACTTGGGTCCTCTGGAAGAACCGTAAATGCTCTTAACTGCTGAGCCATCTTTCCAGCTCCAAGGAAGCATACTTTTTTTTTGTCTTTGGTTTTTTTTTTTTTTTTAATTAAAATTTTCCACCTCATCCCCTCCTCCCATTTCCCTCCCACTCCTCCTACTTTTTTTTTTTGTTTGTTTTTTTGAGACAGGGTTTCTCTGTATCTTTGGAGCCTGTCCTGGAACTAGCTCTTGTAGACCAGGCTGGTCTCGAACTCACAGAGATCCGCCTGCCTTTGCCTCCCGAGTGCTGGGATTAAAGGCGTGCGCCACCACCGCCCGGCTCCTCCTACCTTTAAATGGCATAAAAATCTACCTGTTTGCTTAAGTAATAACTTACTCTGTTAAAGTGCAATCACTAGGAAAGTGAAGAGGTGGCTTAGCTTTTAAGAGCACTTGCCATTCTTTGAGAGGTAAGAGTTCAGTTCCCAGCATCCATATCCAATAAGTGCTCTTTACCTCTGAGCCATCTCTTCAATCCCATTTTATTTTATTTTATTTATATGTGTATGTGTGTGTTAGTGTATATTTATGTGCCCGTGTCAATGTGTGTATACATGTGTAGAGCTGTGCACGTGCATGTATGTGGACATACTGTGTAGGTCAGAAGGAAGCTGTGAGTACCACACTTGAGTTCCTTCCACCTTTTGTTTGAGGTAGGACTGTCATTGTTCTGGAACTTCACCAAGTAGGCTAGGCTACCTAGCCATTGAGCTCCAGGGATCCACCTGTCTCCTCCCAGCTTTGACATCACTGGATTACAAGCACATGCTACTATACTTGACTTTTTTTTATTTGAGTTCTGGGGATTTGAACTCAGGTCCTTATGCTTTAGAAACAAGAGTTCTACTGACAGAGCCATCTCTCCAACCAAACACACATGGAATTTTTTTTGAGACAGGGTTTCTCTGTGTAATAGCCTTAGTTCTCTTGAAATTTATTTTGTAGACCAGGCTGGCCTCAAACTCACAGAAATCTGTTTGTCTTTGCTTCTTGAGTGCTGGGATTAAAGGCATGTGTCACCACGCCTGGCTCACATAGGAGATTTTTATAATTAAGAATATTGAACCCAGGGGCTGGAGAGGTGGCTCAGTGGTTAAGAATACTGGCTCATCTTCCAGAGGACCCAGGTTCAATTCCCAGCAACCACATGACAACTCACAACTGTCTGTAACTCAATTTCTAGTGGATCTTACTCCCTCAAAAACCATGCAGGTCAAACACCAATGCATATTAAAATTAAAAAAGAATATTTAGCACAGTGGTAATGGCATATACTTTTACTCCCAGAATTTGGGAGGTAGAAGCAGGCAGATCTCTGAATTTGAGGCCAGCCTGGTCTACAGAGTGAATGCCAAGACAGCCAGAGCTACACAGAGAATCCCTGTCTCAAAAAAACAAACAAAAAAGTGTGTGTGTGTGTTTATTTGTTTGCTTATTACTCACTCATTTATTTATTCATTCAGGGTCAACTTAGGTGTGATAGCACACGGCCTGTAATACTAGCCCTCAGGAGATGGAAGCAGGATGATTAGGAGTTCAGGTTAATATTGAGGGCTGACTGCGGGTCTAACTCAGGTAGAACATATGCTTAGCATGTGTGACACCTTGGGTTCCATCACCAGTGCAAAGTGTAGGGCTAGAAGTGGGGAAGAACAGGGAAGAGAGATGAGTACTAGGTGTCAGGTGCAGTAGATCACTATCCCTAGTCTTAAAGGAACATGTCCAAAATGTTTCTCTCTCTCTCTTTTTTATTTGGGTGTTTTGTTTTTGAGACAGG